TCTCCATTTATCATTTTGTTTTTTTTAATTTCACAGTTCAAATTAATTCAAAGTTCAAAATAATTCATACCAGTATCAAAGAAAATATACCAGTATCAAAGAAAATTGTCAGAGAAGGACGATCTTTCATCTATCTTTGGGGCATTTCAACAGGCACCTTGTGTTCATTCCGTCCGTTTATTGCAAACACTTTTTAGTGATATTGCTGTGTAAATTTATCTACCTTTGTTGCATTAATAATCACAAGGATCTAAAATAAGTTCCGATTTATCGGTTTAGAGATCAATTCAGAGACTAATTAGAATCCCAGTCTCTCTAAAAAGATCTGCATGGAGAGTTTTATATAACTAGGTATTTGTATTAAAAGTTATCAACTGTTTTGTATAATTGCATTTATAATTTAACAGTAATATAGATGGGAATCTAATAGATATAACTTTTGTTGTTGAAGAGTCGAAGTGATATCGAGTTAGAGTAGGCGCGGTTCAGTGAAAGTTTCCTTATATATAACTATATATCTAATTTCTTCGTATAATGTCGTACAGATTGGTATCGATTTCCCCTCCGATTTCCTCACGGGCGTTAGTTGTTAAGTGAAAGTTGCCTTGTATATAATTATATCTAATTTCTTTGTTTAATGTTGTGCAGATTGATATCGATTTCCCATCCGATTTTCTCATGGGCGTTAGCGGGACCTACGGCAGCCCTGGCCAATTTTCTTAAATTTCACACTAAGCTTACCGAATACGGGCCTTTTGGTTCTGCCACAGGAACCTCGTTTTCTTTCTGCCCGATAGGTAGTGTTGGCGCCAGATTTCCACCAAGGAAGAAATCCGCCTCACTTGGGAAGTAAAGATTGGCTAAAGATTTGTTCCCATGTTTATTTTGGAAATTTAGAGTCCTACATTTGTAATACTTTAGGACTTAGATTTATTTCCTTGTACTTTACTCTTGTTAGGAATCTTTTATAGTTATCTAGATTAGAACTAGATATTGACTAGGATTCTGTTTCCTAGTTATTCGGTTCCTTTGGAAGACAGGTTTTTGGAGGCCGATCTCACGCCTATATAAGGCTCCTCACCTCACAAAGAACGTGACACTTTTGTTGGGAGAAAAATCACTCCGTTGCTATGAAGAATCGCTGAAACGTTCTGCTGAACAGAACTGTGCTATCGTTGGATGTGTCAACATATACAGATTGGCTGTATAGATCTCTTGGGAGATCAACCGCGTCACTGAAGGGAGTTCAGGCCAGAAAGGAGTTCTAGGCACGCGGTGTGGAGCTGCTGTTGGAAGAAACACGAAGTTCGAGTTGTGTGCAAGAACGGCATATTACATAAAGAGGGAGTCTTTAGTGTTTTTATTAAGTCCTATTAATGTACACTATAAATCTCAACTAGTGAAATCGTGTTTGCAGGTCCACGTGGATGTAGGGCACAATTGTGTCTGAACCACATTAATTCTTGTGTTCTGTTTATTTACTTTAAGTAGAGTATAACTGTGCCAACACAAGATTTACAGTTGTAACTGAATACTGTTTCCACAACTTAACTGTTACAACTTAGATCAACTGATTTCTATAGGCATATAAATCAACAGGTAGCTTGATTACCGGCTTTCATGGGCGCGCAGATGGATGCATTGACACCACTGGATTCTATTTCAAGCCCCTTTCCTCCGCTTTCGTGCCCATTCCGAAAAAGGAAACCTTAGAGCTTATCCCGGTCAGCACTTCTATCTCATGTGTATCTGTATATATATAATATACAAATGCTGTATTAATCTGTATTAGTTATTTGATTATGTTGTGGTTTAAATTTGATGAAGCTCCGTCTGCAAAATCTAATCAACAAGGGCATATTTGTCCGAAGTCCAGGACCGTGGGGCGGGCTCGAGGGAAGGGAATTTGATGATGGGGTTTTTTCGGAAATAAAAAAAGTTCACGTGCATGAGTGCGTTGACACAAATGCGATATTTGCAGTTCAGTTTATGTATGTGAAGAAAGACGGCACTACTATTTGGTCGCCCATGCATATGGCTGTTTGGGCGGAGATGTCGTGAAAAACGTTAGCCTTTTTATCGTGTTTTTTGTCTCCATTTCGAATTTATGTTCGCCTTCATTCTATTTATTTGGTGTTTTATATGTTTTGGCAGATTGAGATTGATGTCGATGGTGGCTAGTATTTAGTCGGGATTGAAGGTTTTCATGGCCCGGTTGATGGGATTACTGGTGATGTTAGTGTGATGAGATCGATCACATTTCATACGAACAAGTTCAAGTACGGTCCATTGGGAAGTGAGATTGGCAAATTCTTCACTTCTTCTAAAGGTTGCGATGGCAAAATTGTGGGGGTTTTCGGGAAGAGTGGCGCTTATTTGAGTTCTATTGGGGTGCATAATATATATCTCTGAAAGTGTTGGCGCTTATTTGAGTTCTATTGGCGCTTATTTATTTGAATTTTTTTTTTTTTAGAAAAAAAATATTTTAATTAATATTATTGTCTTGACTACTAAATTACTGTCTCAAACAGTAATATTACTGTTTGAGACAGTAATATTATGAATATTATTTTCCCGAACAATAATATTATTAATATTATTGTCTAAGACAGTTAAATTACTGTTGGAGACAGTAATTTAGCATCCAAGGCAGTAATATTAATTAAAATATTTTTTTTAAGAAAAAAAAAATCAATTAACAGTTAAATTACTGTCTCCGACTGTTAATAACTGTTGGAGACAGTAATTTAGCAACGAATACAGTAATATTAATTAAAAATATTTTTTTTAAGAATAAAAAATTCAATTAACAGTTAAATTACTGTCTCTGACAACTAAATAACTGCGGGAGACAGTAATTTAGCAACGAATACAGTAATATTAATTAAAATATTTTTGAAGAAAAAAAAAAGAAGTCAATTAACAGTTAAATTACTGTCTCCGACAGAATAACTCCCAGAGACAGTAATTTAGCAGTCAAGACAGTAATATTAATTAAAATATTATTCTTTAAGAAAAAACAAAATTATAAAAAAAAAAAAAAAAAAAGTCAACGCCAGAGACCCGGCGGTCAACAGCAGTTGACCGGCCGGAAAAAAATTTTAGGAAAAAAAAAAGTTTTTCAAAGAAAAAAAAAAAAAATCAACGGCGGCGACCGGTGGTCTCCGGTGGTGGCGGGTCAAAATTGAAATTAGGGTTAAAATTGGTTAATTGATGAAATTGGGCTAAATTGGGGTGTAAATCATGAAATTGGAGTTGAATTGGGTTTCAATGAATTGGGGGTAATTTTGGTATATATATATAAAGATTTTCCTTATTTGCAAATAAGTTTGAATGGGCTGGATTTATTTGAAAGACAAAAAAGTTGGATGTCCCTCTTTTGAGTAAGTGCCCTTGTCATAGGCCTATTTGCTATTTACCCTTAAAAATAATGGTCGAGAATTACAAATTACCGTTTTATCATATGCACTAATATAAATAAAAATATTTACAAATATAATATATAATTAGTTATAGTTGTATTCGAATCACACAAAATCATTATCAAAAATCTCAAGCAAATGTGATTTTTGAAAAAAAACAAAAATCATTATCGACCAGTTTGAATATTAATTGACATACACAATTATTATGTGTGTCGATTTAGTAGCAAATTAGTGTCAAAGAATAACCAAATTATTTGCCTAACTAATCGATACATGTATGTCCAGCCTTAATTTAGACGATTGATTAGGGTTTCTCTCGTTTAATTTGGAGAGGTGTTTTTTCTCTCCACATTGAGAGCCGGCTACTTCTTTTGATCTAGATCGTTTGAATTATTGTTCTTTCTCGTTTAACTCATTAGATCAATCGCGTGAGATGAATTGTCTCGTTTGGAATTTTCGAGGGCTAGGGGGATCTCACATTGTTCGTACTCTCGGAGATCTCATCCGAGTAAACAAACCCCAACTCATTTTTTTGTCCGAAACGAAATTAACTGCTAGATATTTTGAGTTTGTGAAAAGAAAATTCGATCTTAATGGATTTGCAGTGGAAGAAAATGGAGCGGCAGGGGGACTCGGTCTCCCTTGGATCAAGGATATAACTGTGGTCTTTCAGAGCTACTCAACGAACCATATTGATGCTTTCGTCTACCACGATGACATTAATATTGACTGGAGATTTATGGGCTTCTATGGAGATCATGACAACACTATGATATATAATTCGTGGCAACTTCTACGGCGCCTTTCTGGGCTTTCAAATAAACCTTGGTTATGAATTTAGTTTGTGTTTGCATGATTCGGGATTAATGGACTTGGGGTTTACAGGCTATCCGTATACTTGGTCGAATAACAGGAAGTACCCGCATACAATATGAGATGTCATAGATAGCACACGAATGGAGGAATAAATTACCGCATTATCGGGTAGTCCATCTCTAGGCCCTCAACTCAGAAGAAGTCGGGGTTTCATGTTCGAAGCAATGTGGCTGGAGACAGACGATTGAGCCAAAATCGTGGAAGAATATTGGACAACTAGCTCAATGTCAAATGATAGCCATGGCCAATGGGGTAACTTGGAACACTGTAAAATGGGTATATGATGAAGTGGAGCAATTATTCTTTTGGAGGAGTGACAAAAAATATCAGTAAACTAAAGGAGAAAATCCTCTTCTAGGATTTACTTACAGATGAAAAGTACAAACAAATAAGAGATCTTTCCGTTGAACTCGAGGCGTTGTTAGATAAGGAAGAGATTATGTGGAGGTAACGTGCCAAGGCTCATTTGATTAAGGAAGGGGATAAAAGTACGACATTTTTCCATGCAAAGGCATCCTCGAGAAAAAAGAAAAACACAATTCTAGGACTCCGAAACTCAGTCGCGGAGTGGTGTAAAGATGATTCAAGATTGGAGGGTATAGTGACGGAGTATTTCGTACAGTTTTGAAGTCCAAAAATCCGTCGGCAGAAAATTTGGATGAGGTTTTAAGGGCCATTGAATCGAGAGTAAGCCAAGAGATGAACGATGAATATACGAGGGAGTATACTGCTATGGAGGTTAAGAGTGCTCTAGATAGCATGCATCCGCTCAAATCTCTCGGGCGTGATGGTGGTTTTCCGGTTAACTTGTATCAAAGATTTTGGCATATTGTCAAAAATGATCTGCCTTGATGGATATTACGTCTCCTTATCATATGGAGTTTCCCTCGAAATGCAATTTACGCATTTGTTCTCATCCCAAGGTGTTCAAATCCAGAAAAAATCACTCAATCTCATCCGATCAACCTGAGTAATGTGGTGTATAAAATAGCTTATATGGAATAAAATAGCTTCGAAAGTTATCACCAATCGTTTGAAGCCTTATATGGATTTGATTATCTCTTACTCACAATCTACATTATTCCGTCTACGCTTATTTCTGATAATATTCTTGTTGCCTGTGAAGTCTCTCACTATATGAAACGTAACACGGTAGATCATATGGCTATAAAACTTGACATGAGCAAGGCTATGACTATATTAAATGGTTATTCCATGAGAAGGTTATGCTGAAATTAGGTTTGGACTTTGGACTGGTTGATTTGATCATCCATGTACGAAAACTGTGAAATACTCGAAGAGTTTTTGGTTTTCTTTCTCCAGAGCGGGGTATTAGAAAAGACGATCCATTGTTGCCTTATTTGTTCTTATTTTGCGCGGAAGCATTGAGTGCTTTAATCCATCAGGAGAAACTAAAAGGTTCATTATCGGGTCTTGCAGTTTGTAGGGGCGCTCCAAAGGTATCCCACTTACTCTTTGTCGATGATAAGATTATCTTTTGTAAAGCAAATGAGTCCTCAGCGAAATGCATTAAAGAGGTCATCCAAAAATTATGAAGATGCTTCAGGTCAGGAAGTTTACTTTCAGAAGTTGAGTATCGTTTTTTGTAAGAGCACTAATGCCTAGATAATCAAGAAAATTCGAGAGTATTTACCTATGGCAGTGGTGGAAAAGCACGAAAACTATCTTGGCTTACCATCAGCTATTAGCAAGTTGAAGCGAGAAGTGTTTTCTAATGTGAGAGAAAAAGTTTATGCTCGCCTTAGGGGTTGGAAAGAAAAATTTCTCTCTAAAGGAGGGAAGGAGATCCTAATCAAGGTGATAGCTCAAGAATTCCCAACTTACGCTATGAGTTGCTTTAAACTACCCGACACCTTTATGAAGGACCTCGAAAGTCAAATGGCAAATTTTGGTGCGAAGATACGGAGGGTAGGGGTATTCATTGGGCTAAATGGCATGATATGTGCAAAGTAAACACTTCAGTACTCTTGAATTTAGGGATCTGGATGTTTTTAATAGAGCTCTCCTTGTCAAACAAGTGTGGCGTTTGCTAGAAAACGCGGACACTTTTGGGTAAGCTGTTAAAAGTTCAATATGTTCCTACTAAAAATGTCCTTGGGACCCATTTGGGATCAAATCCATCATACTCTTGGAGGAGTATATGGGGTTCTATCACCCTTCTTACGGCTGGTTTACGATGGCGGGTCGACAATCAAAGATTGGTTAATGTTTGGGGAGATAAATGGCGTCATGGAGAGAGTACTTTCCAAATTTTTACACCGAAAAGAGATCACCCGTTGAATATGAAAGTATGCGAGCTTATCGATGAAGCAACATGAATGTGGAAATCAGAGTTAATCCACGGTAATTTCTTTGAAGAAGATTGCAAATCCATTCTATCTATTCCACTCAATAGCCATATGCACTCAGATCAATACATCTGGCATTATAGGCGGAATGGTTTTTTCTATGTCCGGAGCGTACCACGTGGCTTTTAATGGACAAAGATGGAGAGAGCCGTCAAGGCAATAGTTCTAACTCCTCTAATAATGAAAACTGGAAATGGCTTTGGGGCCTAAATTTGCCAAGTAAGGTTAAATTGTTTCTCTGGATGGCCTGTAAGAATCTACTGCCAACATGTGTACATTTGAGGAATCAAAGGGTATTGGAGGATAATTGGTGTGTGATCTGCAACGAATGTGAGGAAGATGTTATCCACATTCTTTTCTATTGTTCCTTCTCACGTCAAGTGTGGGCATTGAGCAACCCTTACTAGATTTATCATACTAATGATACAAAGGTGAGTACATGGTTGCAAGGCATTAAAAGAACAATAGATCTCAAGATGTTTGAAAAGAATATCATATTACGATGGGCTATTTGGCATGCTCGAAATAAACAAGTCATTGAAGGGAAAGAAACGAAAGCTACAGATATTGTGGCTTTCTCATACAATGTTTGGAATGAGATCCACGCAACTTCAGTTGTAGTATTGCAACGATGTGAAAGACGAGATAGAAACTATGTGCGCCGGATGCCACTGTATGATAATGTGGTTAAAATTAATGTTGACGCAAGTGTAAATAGCTTGGAAGAAATCTGTAGTATGAGAGCTATTGGAAGATAAAGTTCGGGTATATGTCGAGGATGGAAAACCAGAAGTATCAACCAATTCTTGGATCCTACCTCGGCAGAAGCCAAAGCGGCTCTTTTGGCGGTTGAATTGGCACGTAATATGTGTTGGGGGAGAGTCGTATTAGAAGGCGATTCCAAAGTAATTTCCACAACCATCCAAGGGAATACGAGCATGCGACCAGAGTTTGGGAAAATCATAAATGATATAAAGAAGGTGGGTGAGACATTTGAAAAGTTTAGATTCCAACACATTTTTAGGGAAGGTAATCGATTTACTCATGAAATTGCACGTTTATCTAGGAGCGGTTCTTGTAGTTTGATTGATATTCATGTGTTTATCCACTCTGTAATATATAACTCACAACCCAAATTTTTTTATCTATAATTTGCTCTTATACTCTAAATAGAACATCTATATTCACGTTTCTTCAACTGTCCATCAACATTTCCGACGAACTCTTCTTTAGATGCCCTTTCTGGTAGCGAGCTTTTCTCTTTACTAGTGACGAGCTCTTTAAGGTCTGTAACTTCTAATAATAGGCATTCGGCCCCTTAGATCCCTTTACTTCTCATGGACCAATGTATTTCGTCTTGAGAGGCCGACTTTGGGGGAAGTTTGGCACAATCTTGCCAAACTAAACCCATCACTAATCTACAAGACTCTATCGAGCATATACGGATTTCTAGTATAAGATTTAAAGTCATGAGGCATAGCGATATTTTCCTATATTTGTAGCATAAAAACTAAAAAATAAAATCAAAATTTCGTAGTACACATATAATTTAAAGTTATAATTTGTTAAATAACATTTAACTAATAATAATGGAAAAAGGAAACAGAAAGCATTCACCACACATATATACACGTACCTGGTATGATAATAATAATAAATTTAAATTAAATAAACGGGTAACTATTTTTCCGAACTCCAGGCACGGATCAGTTGTTAAATATTTTCCTAAGTGAATCAGTCCATATTCACGTGTTTAACATGCATCAGTTCCTATTGTGTCTTTTCTATTGTCTCTCTTTTATTTCTCTCTTTCTTTTCCCTATTTCCCTTTTCTCTTTATTCTCATTTTCCTCTCTCCTCCTTTTTTCTTTCCCCTTTCTTCGACGAAGAAAAAATCACTGTAAAACTCGCTATGATTAGAAATGATGCACCAAACCTAGTGACCATTATAATTCTTGGAAGTTGTCGGAAAAAAAACCAACTGCACGTCATTTCTATAAGATTAATTCAACTTTAATGAAGAACTACGGTGATGTAATAAGAAAGTGAGATGATATCCATCCAATGCATTGATATTCCAATACTTGGCTCATCGGGAAAGATTGTATGTGACATTCGGTTGTGACAAAGATGTGGAAAATATAGTTGCATTAGATTTGATAATGAAGATAAGTGTCATGGACATTGTCGTGAGCTACAAAAATGAACCTAATTCGCGTGGAAAGAGGGTGTGTGCTGATGACTGGTGGGATTATAGTATGGACGTATAGAATATGGAACGTATCAATATCATGTAGATTAAAAATTAAATGGTACGGAGTTATGATACTTAAGGTACGTAACCATGGTTCATATAGCATTGGTGATAGGAAATTTTGTTAATGTTGGTTGGAATAGATAGTATTATATAATGAGAGTGATAATGTGTAATTAGTGTACATTGGTATTTTTTATGTTTTTTTACCATTTATGATGTTTTTCATGTAATTGTTATTTGTATTTCACTCTGTAGTAATCTAATTTGTTTAAATTTTCTTGCATTGCCAAACTAAAGATTATTTTTCACGGGTTTGTAATTTGCTAATAATCGATCATTTAAGTACAAGAAAAATGATCAACAAAAGATCATAACAATATGCATGGTTGAAAATTGCAATTGAAGGGTTTATGCATCATTGCACAAGTCAGACAAGTTATTTGGCATTCACAAATGCAATTTTAAGCACACTTGTGGTGATATGCTGCTCTTCGTACATGGTGTCGAACTAAAGCTGATGCTACTTGGCTTTCACCAATAAAAATTGAGAACAAATCTAGCTTATAGACCAATTACTATGTTGGAAGATATCCAAACATATTTTGGTGTGGAGCTTAAGTACTGCACGGCATGGAGGGGGCAAAGAAAAAGCAATGTATGAGATCCATGGTGATGAGGCGACTTGTTATGATAAATTGAGATATTATAGTCGTGCATTAAAAATGATTAACCCTGGTAGCATTGTGGATTATGAGATCAACCCCTCTAGTCAAAAGTTTATTCAGATTATGAGATCGATCCTGTTATGATAATATTTGCAATCTACATGATATGTCAAATCTATGTATTGTTATTAACTAGTTACCATATGAGTACGGCCAAAGTACACTCAAGTATGGAGAAAAGTACATTGTTTGATGTAGTGAAGTGCGTGTAATCCATGCATATTGTATACTTTATCCATTGAGAAAGTCAATGTTTTTCATTCATATTGTGTTGCTATATTCTATTATGGTAACATTTAAGGAAGATATTAACCCTACACACAAGCCTTGTACACTTATATGAGCGTCATGTAGAAAATTTAAAATATTTGTGGCATCTTGTACTCCAAACGCAAGAAAAATGCTCACGAACCTTTACTTTAAACATTAAGAATAAACCGAAGAACAATGGAAGGCGTATTGACATACCTGAACTGATGCGACGTTGTTTTAATCTGTACATAATGCCCTCCGCCAATTTCTTCCAGCAACACTCCCACACATATTTAACTCTACTCAGATATTTACAGTTAAAAGTACAACAAATAATCGTCTCACATTGTCATCATTTTCCCACTTGTTTGCCTCTTTTATGTAATTTATGTACTCTTTGTCGTCGTCTAACAATCCCAGCACATAGCACGCATCTTCAAAAGATGGGTAGCCATGATTTTCTATTGTCCTAAGATCCTCATAACACATGAAACCTCTCTGAAAGGTTAGCAGAAGTCTCAAGTAATAGTGTTCACCTCTGCCCGGCGGTACATTCCTAACCCATCTTATCGAGGATCCTATCTTTCTCGGCATCTAGCAACAATATTTTTCCTTATACACAAGTTTCTGTGGAAACACCCCATACCTCAATTTCATAGATTTACGGTACAACTTATTCGCAACGAACCACGCCAGGAACATCGTTATTTCTAAACCCAACAGCTTGATTGTCTGAAGGATGAAAAATTAATCTAAGCATGGTGGGTCTTTAAACTGAACGTTAAAGCTAAATTACCTCCAAGCTGTCTCGCATGCCAAAAGGTATATGCAGTCGTAGTACATCTTATCTCATCACGACTTTCAGGACTGGCACCGGATTATTTGATTGATAAAATGGCGTTGTGACCTGATCGTGTACTTTGTTGACGTACTTGAACAAATACTTTATTGACTTATTCTTATTCTGGTTGCACAACTCGACATTAAGGCACGACGAAACCATTGTCGAGGCACGTTTTTTTGTAAACCACAGTCCTTCCATTTTCTTTTCTTCAGTACACTGGATAACCATTTTCATTGGCCTTTGTATGGTTGAAAAACTGTTTGGAATATGCAAATTCCATCCTTCTAGCAAGGGGAGGTAACCAATTATATTACTTGTAATTTAAAGAATGTGTTATTTTTGTGTTTAGAAATTATCTTAAATTATCGATATATTTATCCTTCGACAAGAATCATTATAACAACAGGTAGTTAATATATATCTTTTGTTTTTTGGCAGAACATAGTCCAAATGATCAACTCATTTTCTATGCCTACTTCTGATTCAATTTGCATTGTCTCGCCTTTCAGAATAGTCTCCATTGCATATGTGTTTGCTTCTCCCGGTGGGATTTCACGGTACGAGGCACGAATCTAGATCTATTATTTCTTTTATTTGGTATAAAGTAAGCTAGACATGTATATAAAAATTGTTACTATTTTACTTAATAAAGAATGCATGATAATTACGTTTTTTCATATTTCCATGTTAATGACAACATTTGTTATCAGCGAAAAGAATGTATTATGATAATACTTTTCACTTTGCATGATCTAATTTGACAAGTGTAGGATTGACATTAGAAATGAAATGTTAGTCTATGTATGTAAAAGAATATAGTTGACCATCTTTATATATTATGTGTAATTGTTGTATGACTCGTCAATTATTTTCCTGACGCAGTGTAATATTTCATACATAAATGGAACGTATGCATATAATGTTAGAAAGGGTGCTAAAAGATGCATATTGAATGTTCAATTGGCTAACCCTCAAGGCCTATTTTATGGTGGTATTGACGCAGGTTCACTTATTGTTGCTCGCCAAACTCAAATAAACTCTAAAAATAATTCCCAATGCATATTACATATATAGTGACATGGTGGACTTATAAAAATAAACGGTTTTCAAGGGCAGCGAACCTAGTTTTTTCAAGGACTATCCGTATAAAATAAGGTGAAAAAGAATCGTATCAAATATCTAAAGATAATTTATCTTGATTTTTTTAGTGGGTATGCTAAATGATATAAATTGTATTGGCTAAATAAATAAATTTGCTATTATATAGTATAAAAAATGTTGATTGCGCTAAATAGACTACACATGTATGTGCGCTTGATGGATGCTCTC